CAAATTTTTATGAGAGTTTGATACATTTATAATCCAGATTCGGGTGTGGTCTCTCTCTCTCTTGTACGGATTTGATCGAATAATTGATCAACTAATTAACAGTCACACCCTTCTTGAGAGCTTGCCAAATTAATTTTGGGTTTATCATATATTTTAAAAAAAAACTCCTCTACGAAATATATTACCGTAATTTATAAAAAAATTACGATTTCTTTTACAAGATTATAATAACAAGATTAAGTTAATGCTTTTGCTCCATTTTCACACCTTGAGAATTGGAATAAAAATCAATTTTTCAGAAATAATGCGATTTCGTAGTCGAGTCTATCAAATGGTTTGTCCTAAGAGAATTCATCTAAAAGATACTTTCTAAATTTACAGAACTTAACAGAAAGCTAAAAAAAAGACATAAAAGCTTTTTACAAGACCTGTCATTTTCGGCATTTGATCTAATAGAAATAAATATACAGAATAAGCCAGACAGAATTATTTTAATATAATTTTCTGTCGTATTTATTCCTGTAAATAAATTTGCGCTTATATAGAGTTGTATAGTTAAATAAGGGAGTATACGGTGCTTAAATGAAAGAGAAGAATCATCAGAAACTGATCCACATATCTACTTTATTCGTTTCTTCTATAATATCCTGTTTATTAGATAAAGAGAAAGCATCATCTATAATCGTGTAGCTAGAGAATTTAATAAAAAATTGTTTTAATTCCGTTCATAATATATTTTCTAACTATTAATTTCAATAAATAAATAAATTACTAACGGTGCAATATGTTTTATTTCTATTGTGCCTTCTACATATATTTCTATCCACGTTTTACATAGCTGTCTAACATTATACATGTACATATTTTACATATATATATATATTATNATATATATATTATATATAATTATTTATTTATTTCTATATATATTTATACAATTTCTCTCTTTTGAAATTAATAATGCTCTATGTTAGTTCTTAATGTACTGTACAGTACATACATTATATCGTATGACAGGAAAAATATTTCATCGTCGATTACGAAAAACACGTTTCGCTTCAGATACTTACACAGAATGACAGACACCATACAAATGTACAAAAATCAATATTATGTAAGTTTAGATCCCTTGTAATATCTTGGAATCCGAATCTCGTTGATGAAGTAATAAAAACACGTGAAAAATCTCTCTTAATTACATTATATATACAGTAATAATGCTTAACATATATATATATATATATATGTTTTTTTTAATATTTTTTCCAAATATTGTGTTTATTTATTTCAAATTTATTAAGTACAGTATATAAATATTTTTTTGTTGTTGTTTTTTTGATTTTCTTTTAAGGTTTTCATCTGTAAATTTATAAATTAATAATTAATTTTCTTTTTTTAAAATTCTATTCTAGAATTAAAACAATATATAAAATGTAAAAAAACTTTGATGATGTATTATATATATATATATATTTAAATCAATTATTTTGCGAATTATTTACAACGTAATTCAGTCATTTTATAAATGACCCAAAAGATAAAATAGATGATTATTTATTTATTTATTTTTTTTTTTTTTGATCACAGGCTCTAATATTTTTGTGATAGAAAATAACTTTTATCATCTTCAGTCTGGTATGTATGTTTCTATATGTGATATATTTGTTACTAAACTAGTAATGCTAGAATGACGACTACTAAGTACTCCGGACTCAATAAAATTATGGGTCTTTATAGAATCGTCTCGCATTTTAAGTGGGCAATTATCGTTTGTTGGGTTTATCTTCCCGTTTGATGTCAACGGAGGATTTATTGACGAACGTGTGTGATATACTGTTGGATTTACATCAGAATTTTCTGTTGATACTTTGTTAGCTTCTCCATTAAATTTATTACTTTCGGATTGACTATCGAATTTATTATAGTTATCTTGACTAGAAAATCCTTTCTTTCTTCCCATGGCTTTAAATATTTCTTCATTTTTAAAACTGTAAAGAAGATTAATTTTTATACATATATATATAAAACTCAAGAAAGGAAAGAAAAAGAAAAAAAAAAAGCTTTAAATTTAATTATAGTGTAATTCGGATTTTATGGTTTTACTTGAATAGAATTTTCAATTTTTTTTTTCTTTTTAGAGTATGTTTTCAATCTATTCTATCCTTACTGAAGTATATTAATGAACTAGCAATGCAGAATTTAAAAAAAAGAAGAACACAGAAATACATTTACTGATTCAATATTCGATATACAATTTAATTTACTACATGCCGAATAAAAGCTAAAAATTGAATGATATTAAATTCAATATTAAAAATATATACATTTATACTTAAAAATTCTATTTAAAAATTCAATAGTTAAAGATATATATTATTTAAAACTCAATACTAATGAATAGTTTAGAATTTTCCAAAATATTAAATTGTAAAGTAATAAATACATTAAATTTTCTGAAAATGTATTAATTCTATTAAATTTTATTCAATATTTATTATTTTATGTGGATAGAGAGAGAGAGAGAGAGAGAGAGAGAGAGAGATAAAGATTCAAAAAGTAAGACAGATACAAATAATAAAATAATATACAAAGAAAAATACATTTAAAAAATGCTTATATTAGCTTTTTACATAAGTAAAGTTAATATAAACACTACGAATTCTAACGTGTTTATAAATTTTTTTCTTTAAAATAAAAATTTCTTTACAGTGGAGCATCATGAGCAACTTCATTTCGTTGCATGGGCAATTTAGAAGATTACTTTAAACGAATAAAAAGGTATTTAATTGAACAAACACGACGTAGAAGACTTAAATACAGCCAACAATAGCAACTTTGAAAACTTAAATAAGACTACAGAAGAGGAAGAAAAAAAAAAAGGTAGAGTAAACATTAAATCAAATATATAACAATAAAAGTAAATAAGACGAATAAGTAAAACTTAAATAAAATCATAGTTTTTCTTCTTTTTTTATTTGGTTTGTAGAGGAACTATTTGTTATTCAATTCATGTAAAATCTAAACAAAATGCTAAATATATCATACAAATGTGTTTATATTTGTTTAGTATATTTAGCATTTTGTTGCATTTCATTATAAATATAATAAAGGAGAAAACGAGAATAAATCTTACGATTTAAACGAATTAAAAATAACATTTCTTTTTTTTTAAATGACACCGTTTTATTTTTAGAGACATTTTCTACTCACCCATGATTATCCCTGAAGCATTAAAGAGAAAGTGACTGAATATTAATTACAATTTACGTCTTCTTAACGAGAATTTTAATATGATAAATTGAGCTTAATAATTTACTGTAATGATAAGAAAACGAAAATAATTTCGATAAGTTCTAAGCTCGATTAAATATCGAAAACTTCTCCAAATATAAAAACTAACATGGAAATTTTCATTTAAGTAAACATTTAATAAAGAACGAAGAGTTTTAAATCCAATAAAAATAAATAAATAAATAAACAGGAAATTAAATTTTCGTTTCTTTATTGCTTGGAGTCAAATCAGACACAAAGTCACGAAGGAACTAGGAAACTTATCAAAATGATTCACTATAAAATCATCTTACTAACTTATTATCTAAATTTTCTTTAAATTATTATACACGAATTCAAATTTTTATGAGAGTTTGATACATTTATAATCCAGATTCGGGTGTGGTCTCTCTCTCTCTTGTACGGATTTGATCGAATAATTGATCAACTAATTAACAGTCACACCCTTCTTGAGAGCTTGCCAAATTAATTTTGGGTTTATCATATATTTTAAAAAAAAACTCCTCTACGAAATATATTACCGTAATTTATAAAAAAATTACGATTTCTTTTACAAGATTATAATAACAAGATTAAGTTAATGCTTTTGCTCCATTTTCACACCTTGAGAATTGGAATAAAAATCAATTTTTCAGAAATAATGCGATTTCGTAGTCGAGTCTATCAAATGGTTTGTCCTAAGAGAATTCATCTAANCTCCTGTAATTTAATCCACTTTAGGTTTTACAACTTGAAAGTTTTCAAATTGATTCCGCTCGCGTAACTAAATATCACGTTTCGTGATTTCTTTCTTTCTTTTTTTTTCATATATAAATTTTATTTTATTATTATTTTTTTAAAATAAAATACGTTATTAGAATTTAGTTATTGAATATAAGTATAAATAAGAATCTTAAGATATCGATTGAATTTAATAATTAAGAATCGAAAAAAAAAAATATCTATCGATTAGTTGTTCGCAATTACTTGTTACCTAATTAATTAAATATAGATTTTTCGATAGATTTCTTTAATTTCTTAAATAAAATAATTAAGGAAAAATCATCATAAATCTTACGTTTCGTTTTATTATTATTTTAATTATTAGTTTAACGTTTATAATTTCAATTAAAATTACTTTATTTTTCAATTTTTTTACTTCTTAAAAAGCACGCATCAACCAAATTCAATTAATAAAAAAAAACCTTATTTTATTTTTTCTCTTTGTGTAGCTTTTCTAGTTGAAGACATTCTTATAATTTGTCTCGATAATAAATCAACTGCCCTTTGTTCCAATCTCATGCCTTTTATTGTAATGATATATCTTCTTGCCTACAGAAAACTTTTCGTGTGATAGAAGGGGCCTTGTAATAGTACTCTACTACTTTAATTGGATTTTTTTTTAATCCCTAAAAATCGAATGGCATGGCAATAAATACTAAAAATTAAACAAAAGAAATAAAAGTAATTAATTTTAAACGTTTATTAAATTTTTAGTACGTGCCAAAAAATAAATAATATAGGCTATATAATATATATTTATAATGAAAAAAAAACTAATTTTTTCCAAGAGAATATATTTTTATTTTGTATTAGAAAAAAAAAATCTTGTTACGATGTACACGCTGTATAATTTAAAATTTGCGTGTTAATTTAGATATTGCACACCAAGAAAGACCGGATAATCCATAATAACAGGTGGAGGGAAGAGAAATAAAAACTAGATAATGTTATAAACACAATTCCTGAAAGTAAATCGATAAATTTAAATATATTTATAACGTAAAAAACATTATAAAAATGTAGAAAATAGTAGCTAAATAATATGATTCAGTAGATTAAAAAGAATTTTCTTGTGTTTTAACTTTAAAAATAAAAAAAAAATAATAATAACTTCCAGGCATAAAATACTCGAGATCGATTTTTTTTTAAAATATATTAAATATAAAAAAAATACTTCCACAGCTTGTTTTAATTTCTTTTCAATAACTTAATTATTATCTATAATAAGTGTTTCCTCTAGGTATATACAAAAATTTGATATCTTCAGTGTCTAATAAAGCTGTTTTTTTTTTAAATTTTATTTTAAAAGAATAAATTTAAAAAATAGTAGCGTTAANAACAAGAATTAAATTTTTCAGTTGTTATATGCAGTTTGATATTATTCGACGAATATTGGAAAAATATTTTAATTATGACATCATTCTCACCATGGGAATTACTATTATAAATGATAAAATTATAGCTAAATGGGTTAAAGTAACTTAAAAATATCTTTCCAAATCACGTTTTGAGCATTATTTAGCTATTTTCTGCAGTTGTAATAGTAGGAAGTGTCACAAATTCGTCGACATATTGGCAATTTCTGGTTTGGAATAGCTCACAATTGACCAAGTAAAATTGCTTAGTCAGCTACACGCTCTTCCTGATCTCGCACAGTCTTTATCCTTTCTTCATTGTCCACTAAACGATTTTCCTACTTTCGTTTCCAACATTTTTATTAATGTAATAGCGTTACATAAATATATTTTGTACTTATCTTCACGGAAATGAAATTCCGAAATTAAATTTTTCTCATAAAATTATATAAATGTAACTTATTAAATATTAATATTATCTCTATGATAAATTTATTTTCTTCTTTCTAACTCTTTTTTTTTCAATTTTTTTCCCACTTGTTTAATTAGAAGCGAGTCATTTAAATATTAAAATTTACACTTTTAATTACCTTTAATTCTATTTTTCCTCTATAGTCGATTTGATAACCCCCGAGTATACGTAGTTTCTTCTCAGTGGTTTGACTCATATGAATCCGATACGCTGCCAATAATCATTAAATAAATTATTATTAAAGTAAAGAGGATATTCCACTTGTTATTATACACTTACCGCTACTAGTAGATTCCATTCTAGAAGCTGTGTTGACAGTATCACCGAATAAACAGTAGCGAGGCATTGTTAAACCAACAACTCCCGACACGACAGGCCCTACAAGAGTGTAAAATAACATTTACTTTTCTTAATATTTACTCAATAAATTCATCCACTTATCGATTTACCTGTATGTAACCCTATACGCAGCATTAGAGGAACGGTCGGCATATGTCTAATGCGAAACTTGCCACAAACATATAATAAATCTAGAGCCATAGTGGCTATTTGGTCAGCGTGGTCATCAATTCTTTCGGGTAAACCGCCTACCACCATATAAGCATCACCTATAGTTTCCACCTGAAAATAATGGTTTATAGCTTATGCAACGTAAAAAAATCCATTCATTTCTACAATCATCTGTAATGTTAATTGGCATAAAATAATAATAATAATAATAATAATAAAAATTTCAAGCCTGTTTTTTTAATTTAGAATCGTGAATTTTCTCTATCCTCCATTGTTATATTATTGTATCGTACTGTACTGTTGTTTCCGAAAGAGAAATTCGGTTGTATTGAATCAAATAAATTAAAAACAAGTAGGCCTATACATTAAAGCAAACCTTTTGTACAAGTATAAAGTAAATTTCATAAAGAGCACCGTTGAAATCTCGATAAAAGTTCCTAAAATTATATTCACTACATTAACCTTTCCATTAAAAAAAGGGCAGAACACACTCCTTTTGATACAGTTTGTTTATTTTTTTCATCTGTGGAAAAGCTTTAAAGCTGATTTTTTACGTTAACTTAATAATATTTACAAAGATTTTTATAATAATCAAAAGATATTAAATCCAAACATGTTTACAAAATCATTCCCAAAACCTCGAATAAATGTAATGATTTACAGCAATAACGAACATCGAGTTTAAAATTTATTATTCGAATTTCCCAACTTCGATAACAACTAACAATGATAAATGCTACTAGTGTAATAATTTCTAAATAGCAATATTAAGAGTAAACTTTACTAGCTTATATAATATATATTATTATTACAGCTAAAAATAAGTTAATAAAATAAATTGCTTAATTTTTTTAAGTTTAAAAATTGATAAAAACGTTTACTTTATTATTAATTTAATTTAAAATATATGCTCTCCATCTCAAATCAGTAAATCAGCTCCTGTAAATCATACTTTTCCTGATAACAACGGAATCAAACCATTCATCTCAGTTCTAGAAGAATTTTTTGAATTAAAATCACATGACTTCCGGTCCATACTGGAAGTTATTATACAGTTAATCGTGGCCTCCTACCCCTAATCTTTACATATCTGGTCTCGGTTTTCATCTTTATACCTCCGTTCTCGAGATTAAGGAAGGACGGACAGTAGGAATTTATAGGTCTACAATTTTTTCAAATTATAGTTCAAAAATATAGTAGTATATTTTTTAAAGTTTAAAAAAATGCTGGTTTATGAAATTCTTTAGAAAATCCGTCTTTTTTACGCAAGGAATGAATAGCGAGGGAATTTTTGCAAGTGCTACAACTTTGTAGCTGTGGAAGTGTGTGAGAATAGTGACATCGATCACATCACTCTGAAGATTAGAATTTACTTTTTTTCTTATATATAAACCAAAGATACTAGATATTTTCAGGGCAAACTAAACCCATTATATTATAAATTTATAAAAAGAAATTTCATTTATTATTATTTTTTAAATACAATATTTCCAGTTAAAAATCTTCTTACAAAATTCACTTTGATTTCTATAAGTGTGCGAATTTTTTTCTTTTTTTTCATATATAAAAGATAATGAAATATTTTTAAAAAAAAAGTAAAAATGGAGAATGTAGAGTACATCTTACTTTTAAAAATTGTAATTTTTCTTCGTCGTAGATCAAGTTATTATGAAAATGTTTTAAATTTCCATAACTAAAGAATAGCCTGAAGTATAAAAGTTTAATTTTTTTTATACCAAAAAAATCAACCTTTTGTAAAATTTTAAAATGTTATAATATTTTATATCTAAGAGAGTAAATTCTGACGTCTTTACATTAAAAAAAGATATATATAAANGACAAGAAATAAGATTACAGAAAATTTTAAAATACTAATTAATAAATTAACTAAGTAATTATTTTTTTAAACTGTGATACTAATTATTAAAAGAGGATGCGAGAACATTAAGATATAATTACATTATTATTTTTTCTTTAGTTCTTCACATAGTTTTATTATTTATTTTCTGGGTGCAGTTTTATATATTTTACAAGAAAAAAAAAACAATGTTTTATCGCAAGAAAATATGTTAAGAATTCTTAAATAACCTCCAAACAACGGATATCTCCCCCCTTTTTTTTCAATTGTTTCTATCAGTGGCCGTTGTTCAGAGGTTTGACTGTAAAATTGATGGTAAAATTAATATTTAATCGTTTATTAATGTTAAAAAGATTCAACATTAGAAAAATCTATAAATAAATAAAAAAAATTCTTTCAATTATTTTAACGATCTCCGCTTAATACGTTTACAATAACATTAATACTTGTATACAGGAAAACTTTCAAAATGAATAATTGCATTTAAAATAAATTATTTATCTAAAATGTAGGTTGAGTAACGTGTTACAGGATTTAAAGGAATGTAACTTATTACATAAACAACAGACTTGATAACCTTTAAATCTTCATGTTTACATGCAAATTAAAAAAAAATGTAAAACATCTAAAAACACGTCTAGACGTTAATACTTTTAATTGTAATAATTTAAATAAAAATCTTATTCGTGTATTTAAAATACAGTATAAAATAAATAGAAAATATTGTAAAATTTTCATTAGATATAAACGTTTGAAGTGTGATAAAGAATACTTTATATATAGAAAATTGTGTAATAAATAAAAATTACGTACATTTTCGAAGGATTTTTACATGGTTAAAATGTTAATAATATAATATAATCAATATAAAATACTTTAAAAATATTCATTGTGTATAGAGAGTTTAAGAAATGATAAAGAAGTATCCCAAAATTTAAATAGAATTCCGATTCTAAATAAGGAATTATCAGGAGGAAAAAATAGATAACAATTAAAATAAAAAAAAAATAATCCAAAATTTAAGACGTATCCTATCTTTAAATTTGAAAATGCGTGAAAAAAAATCCGTTTTAAATTCCAAGTAATACGATATATTAGAAATTTTAAAAATTTATTCAGATATAGAATATAAAGACATTGAAAGATCACCGTTTTTCATTAACAATATTCTTACCTTATATACATTGTAGTGATTGATAGTGCTATCAAAGGCCGTATATAGATCGTTCAATAAATCAACAATCTCCATAGGTTCGCTATAAGCCGAGATTGTAGTAAAACCAACAATGTCACTAAAGTAGATGGTCACTTCTTCAAATTTTTCTGGTTGTACAGGTAAACCCAGCTTTAAGTTTTCAGCCACGGTACTAAAAATACACACACAAAAAATGCAATAAAATTAAGAAAATATTCATTTATTTTATTTATTTATTGTGACGATGACGGGCTGCAATTTTTAATTTATTTAATTAAAAAAAACAACAATATATGTTCTCCATTTCAAATTAGTGTTTTGCCCCTGTAAATCATACTTTTCCTGACAACAACAGTCATGTCAGTTCTGTAATAATTTTTTGAATTAAAATCACGTGTTTTCCGGTCCATACCGGAAGTCATTATATAGTTAATCTGGGTCTAATATCCCTAATCTTTCATTTTCTGGTCTCGATTTACATCTATCTAACTCCGTTCTCGAGATTAAAGGCAGACAGACAGACAAATGACAATGAGCATTTATAGGTCTACAATTTTTTGTTTTCAAATTACAGCCCAATTTCTTTATCGATAATTGAAGTCGGAAGAAGTTTATAATATTTTGTTACCTCGGTAGCATTCGATGTAACAACTGTTCGGTTTTTTTCTTCTCTTCGTCTAATTGAACGGTCCTCTCTTGTATCAAATCTTCTAAATTATTCGAGTATTTTTCTAACATTTGAAACATTGTATCTACAATATTGATTTTTCTGTTTATGAAAAAATAAAATAAACTAAATTATAAAAACCAATATAAAACGTTACATAAGATACATATTAATATGGGTATTAGCGTGCCAAAAGCGCAATAAAGTCAAGAAATTTCATTTTAAAGATCGAAATTTCTATTTAAAATCTATTTTAAATATAAAACTAGCGAAATTATATTTAAAACTAATTCAAACTAATAGATAAACAATTCTAAAGACCATGTAAAAATGCATATAGGTCAAGATGATAGGAAAAAAAAAGTACTGAAAAATCCGTGAGATTTTCGCATTAATTACGATATAAATTAAGTAAATATTTAAAAAATATTTCTATAAAAATTAATTAAAATTGATTAAAGTTTAGTTTTAAAGCTATAATTAATAAATTCGCATCTAAAGTTAACAAAGCTTTCATTTTCAGTTTACTCTAAATTATCATTATCGCTCCTAAATGCGAACATTTATGTTATATCAGAATAACTAATGAATCCTTTAAGATGTTGACATAATTCCTGAAGGCATTTGTTTGCTATTTAGGAAGAGCAGCAATCGAATAATCGATAATAGCAAAGAACCTTCTACTTTAACGAACGGAAAAGGAGGATGGAAAAACTTTTTTTTTTCTTTTCCTTCTATATTTATCACAAACGATTAATTATAAAATTAATCTACCTTCCGTGATTGAGTACTTTGAATTGGTCGTTGATCTGATTGAAATCGGGCCTCATATCTGGTAACTCTGCCCAACATTGCCTCATAATGTTTATAGCTTCGGGTGGAGCCGTTTGCTTAGATACAGAAGGTCGTATGAGAGGTGGAGGATGTTTTAACTTTTCAATAATTTCTACAGAAAATATAATTACAAAATAACAATTTATTATTCACGATTTTTACATTTTTAATATTAATTAAACTATAAAAATTCTGTTAGATTATTTATTTTAAACGTGTAAACATATATATTAATTAAAAACGTATTGATCTCTACATACAATTTTTAAATTAAGGATTTATATATATATATTTTTAGAAATAATGCTATTTATTTTCAAAATATTCACCTTCGGCCGTGAGTTGAAGCATAGAATAAGGTTCACCTCGCACTAATACTTCCTGAAGGATGATAGAAAAGGCATAAACATCACCAGTTTGACTTCCTTGCATCAAGAGATCCGGATTTCTTAATAATTCTGGAGCATACCATAATAATTCTAAAGCGTAAAACGTTATTCAATTATTATAATGATGTCCGTCATTACAAAAAATTATAAATTAATTAATTTATTATTTAAGATTTAGAAAATAAAGAAGAGAAAAACAAGGTCAAATAATCAATTCGTGCGTTTTCTTTGATGTTACTTTGCTTTCAGTACATTAGACAAACTATAATTATTTCCGCTATCTAAATTGGTCCTTTTTCTCTCTCTTCTTTTTTTAAAAAAAAAAAACAATCTACTTCTTTTCTCCAGCAATTTCGATCAAGAGAAGAAATAAAAATATTATTTTCTTTCCTTTTTATCAATTTCAATAACAGAGATAATAAAACTTTCAAGAAGTCGGATTAAAATACAGATATGCTTCAATTCCGTCTACCTTTAGCAGGAAGTTGAGGAACAGGAAGTCCTTGACATTGAAAGAAAGCAGGGAGAGCATAATCAGTAATCTTCAAAACCCAACGACTGTCGATAATACAATTTTTAGAATTTAGTCTTCCATGACATTTAACTGTCGAATTGTGCAAATAACGCATCCCCTGTAAAATAATAGAAGTAAAATATATGAAAAATATATTTTATTCTGACAGATAAATGTCTCTAAATGTCAATTTTTTTGATAAGTTCGATGCGCTGTGGATAAAAATAAAGTTTTTTTTTTTATATAACTCACTCGAACTAAATCAGTTAGCAGTGATAGTTTGAAAGCCCAGTCCAGCTTTATGTCTTCTCTAGCTAACACTTCGTATAAGCTACCTCTAGAACAATACTCCCAAACTAGAGCAGGCCTTTGACTATCAGCCAAGCAACCCAAAAATGGATTCAAATTTTCGTTTCTTAATTCGTACGTCTACAAAGAAAAACTTCATTAATAACAATAAACAAATAGAATTAATGTAAGTATAATTTATGTTATTCCTTACCGTGCATAATTGTTGCATAGCTTTACGTTTTAGTTCGAAAGGTGAATTGATGACTAAGTATTTCAAATATACAATATCGCCCTAAGAATATATACAAATATCAGAGAAAACTATTAAAAAATATATAACATAAAACATATTTTTTTTTTATCATCTAACATCAGATGAAATATTATATCTACCGCCTCGAATGTGTATTGAATTTAGAATTTTGTTCAAATATTAAACCGAGTTTGTTTGTTCGCGACTTTGTATAGACTTATTATACATTATAAAAGAAGTTGTGAGGTAAAAGCCCTGTATGTCATTTATTAGAGATGTTTTATTTGACTTTGTTCGTCGATGCGCTCGCATGGTAATGATATAAAATCAGATAAATAGTTTCCTAACATGAAACTTCATTTAACAAATTTGTTTTCCAACGTTTACTAATATAATCGTTCATTGATTTCTCACGCTAAATGACATCTGTCACGATTTGCATTCTACAAATATTCTCTTAATTTCAGAAACCAATATAATAGTTATTTGGTAGGATTAAAGCTTCCTTTCGAGTTTTATCGATCACGAAACGAAAAGCGAAATTAAACAGCTTTAAAGATTTAACTAATAAAGTATGACTTACGTTTAGTCTGGCACAATTCATGTTTTCTTCTGTGCTAACTCTTCGACTTTGACTCGAACTCAAACACGTAGGGGGTTTTAAAGAATCGTGAGAACCCCTTAAGATATCTGGTTTTTCGAAACTATATCCTTTAGTTATTGGCTAGAATATAATATTTTTCACTTTAATACATTCGAAATGAAACTTTTATCCGTCTTTTACTTGTTATTATCGTAGCTCTCTACCTTTCTAATTTGTTGAGTTATCACAAGATCTTCAGTCGTCATTAAAATTTTCTTTCTCATTTCTTTATAAAGTAATTTCTTTCTGGAAACGTTATACGAGCAAAATTATTAGATATTAAGAAAAATATTCGGGGGAAAAAATCGATAATTCAAACATTACAATGCAACAAACGGAGCTCGGAAAAACTTGCTTAATATTGCAACCGACAGCATTATCAGTTTAGTGAAGACATTCAAGTATGAATACCGTTTCCACAACGATTCACATAAATGATTACTCACCTAACGATAGCCGCAATCCCCAGAGCAATGATTATGAATGCAACAATGGGCACAGTTACTGCTATCACGTCAATACCCGAAACTATCGAATCTACAAAAAAAAATTACATTTCCTAATTTTCTTTTTGATTATTTCCCTGTATTCACAAATGAAGAGAAAGCTCACCTTCGATAGGTATTGTGCAGTCAGCATCTTGAAAAATGCAAAGAGCATCTTCAGTTGGAGGGCTTTCACCCGGCCAGTCAACGCTTTGCATCCAGTAACTTTTACGTACGTCTTGTAAATCTGTCAACATTGTAAATTCTGAATATGACGGATTGTAATCGAAAAGTAACAACCGAACGAGACGATCGCCATTTTCTGTCGTTTCTGCTTGGCCCCATAATGTAGGATATTTGATACGATTCAGGTACTTTGAGAGATTCGTATTAGAACTGAGCAGATCAATTTTATCCTCCGTAATCTTTTTCAAAATGGAGAATAGTAACGATATTGCATCGTAACGGCGTACATACGATTCCTATTTGATAAATTAATCAATTAATTAATGCATTAACAAAAATATGACTCTATGATTTACAGATTAATATATATAAAAAAGGTTTTAAAAATCTATCGTGAATAACCTATTATCTTTCGTATCATTAATCAGGCATTTGATTAATCGCAATCAATTTTCATTTTAAATCAACTGTTCTAGAATAATTTCTGCATTATCGAGTATTAGTCACTTTATATAATCGAGCATTAGAGTATATATTAATCACGTCGTTACAGATTTTCTCCTGCAACAGTATTTTTATAATTGATCCTTAATATTTATGACTTTTCTACAGGATTATAAAAAGAAAAAGGAAAGTGAATTGAGTCTCTGCACGATTTTCTAAAGAAGAAATTTTCTAGAAAGCATTAAAATATTTAAAAGTCTTTCCGTTTTTTTTAAACATAATACATTATTGTCGTTACCGGAAAATATGTCTGATGCAGAAAGGAAGAAAAAATTACATTGTAAGCCACTGCAGAAATTTTCAATTATCTTCTTTAAGTTTTCGTGTTATAAATAATATCATTTTTGAGACACGATTACATTGAAAATTTCCATTACTGTCCGTATCAACTGGAAATTTTTTTCCTATTCGAAGAAATGGAATTTGACGTAAGACGACAACAGCTTTCTTCAATTTTCTTCTGTTTTTATCTTTGTAAAATCTCACTGATCCTCTTTATTGATACAAGAGCGAAAATTGGAGGCAGGAATGTTATAAACCATCAAAAATACATTGAAGGAGATAAATTGCAAACAATCGATAAGACTTGATAAACAAGAAAAGAAAATGAGCATAAGAATTTGATAACTGATGACTCCAACAACAACAAATTGTGACTTTGATTTATGCAACTCTTTTACCAATACACACACATCACTGATAAAAGGAGACTGTAGATAAAATTGTTATAAACTTTTCAACAAAATATATCCTAAATAACGATAAAGTTTCGTTTAAAAAATGAAAAAAACCGAGTATCAAAATATATGATAACCTCACTTCAACAAACATTATCACATAAAACTTGAAAATTTGATTTATAAGGTTCTTTTGTATTGTGGCTCTTTACTGGTGGAAAAGAACAGATTGGAAACTAAGTCACAAACAGTGGCTAAATTTTTTTTTTAAAAATATAACTAAATTTACTACGATAATTGGAATTGTGAATAATAGTATAAAATTGCAATTTGTTTTTTCGTTGGCACTCTTCGTGGATGCGAGAATACACATTCGAATAAGCTTATGGGTGCAATGATCTTTCAAAGAGGATAAATTAAAAATAATCGATAAGATTTTATAATAAACAGTATGGAAAATGATGGTTAGAACAAGATAACCGATGATTCAAATAATCAGATTATACGTGAAACCACAGTTTTGATTTATGCATCTCTTCGCTATCAGTATTCTTTATCGATGAATAAAGAGAAAGAAGAGACTAACTCGTTACAAATCATCAGAGATAAATTCGTAAACAATCGATAACATTTTGTTAACAGGAATAGAAAATGAACTTTAGATTGAAATTGAAGATAACTGGAACGACCACATTACACGAGAAGCCAAGATTTTGATTTATATACTACCTTTCGGGTACGCTTTTCTTAAATAAAATAAGAAACGTGCTCTATCTCAATTCATTTGCTTAGAAAATCAAGTGGAAACGAAAGACGATTTCAATCTTATTTTCGAGAAAATCTTAAACGAATTTAAATTAAACTTTGCAGATTGAAGCGAAATCCGAAACTCATTCAGATGTAGATCCAAATGTAATCACGTTAATGCTGAGATAGTAACAAACTCCCCCTCACATTCCCTAAGGTAAAGAAGATAGATTAGATTTTGTGCTCTTTACAAAATACCAAATCCTTTACAAAGTATCTTATACGACTTTTAATTATCTAGAAAAACACTTTACTTTTATTAAATATTTACTTACAATAAAATCAACACTAGTTCGGTTGGAGAGTATTTCCGGATTTGTGTGGATATTCCAGTCGAGAGTGGTGATCACAAACAAAGCTCTGAGCATCGAAGGCGCTATTTGAGCAAGTTTGGGTGCAACCCCCGGTTTAAGGGTGGAAAGTACGTGAAGAAGAAAAAATGCAAATCTTCCATCACTCAAATTCATTTCTTGTGCAACGATTAAGACGTTCTTTGTAAGTGGGGAATTCAAGTCCATCACCATTATGATAGCTGCAGTGGAAAAAAACAAGAAAGAAATTTATTATACGAAATTTTTCGGGTGCATAATATATATATATATATTCTACGTAAAAGAAACATTTTATTTGAACCCGTAGTAAAAAAAAGAAAACAAAAAAGAGGGGGGAAATTCTTATGAAGACAAGTTTCGCTGCACAAATGGATTTCTGAAGGCGCATCCATTTTCAACAGGGGTTGCAAGATTGACAAGGACGAATACGCAGACGTAGAATGTTGAATAAGTACTATTCTAGAGTATAAGACAAATCCCGCAGGGAGATATAAAAATAAGAAAGACAAGAGATGATCTACTGAAATTCTTTTCTAAAATTAGTAACCGAATAAATTAATAAACCGAGTGAATATTAAATGACAATAATCTTGCTTTTTAACAATGAATATTTGTCTGCCGTAATTATGTACTAATTATCTCGTAGAGATAAGCAAAGCCGTGATTGATAATGCTTCGTCGACAGAAATTAATGAATAGAATTGCAGATGTATTTAGTCATTTTCTCATATAGAACGCCTTGAGGATGCCATTATTATTTACTGATAGCACTTTTCAACTTTAGAATTTCGCTAATGATTTTTTAACGCTAATTATTTAAAATTGTCTAAAACTTTATTACTGTTGTTAAATTTGAAAGATTTATTTTATTTTATTTTTTTTTAATGGCACTTGAAAAGATTAATTAACTTCCGCTTGTCTTTCTGTGTTTAATCTGATTATTTTTCTTAAAACTTCGCTTTGTTTAAATAGTAATTCTTAGTTTTATACTGTATTTTTTTTCCTCTTTTCTCTGTTGGAAAACGAAGCCTTCTCTCCATTCATCTCTGATAACCGATTTCTACACTTTATCTTCGGACTTAATGGAGGAGAGCGTAACATAGTTGTTCATCATAAATCACCTGAACGTTTAATCCGTATTAAAACATACAACTCTTCATTCGAGGTTTTTATTTGTCATTTGCCGTCTTTATGTCTAGTCTTTTTTGATCTGTCGAACAAATAACCAGAATGGTCGTCTAAGTGACGCCATGTTTTAATGAGATCATGCTATGCATTAATCAATGCAGACATATTTTCCCTTCCATTGCAAGAAAACATAAAGAGTTGTATAGACTAAAACTTAATCATGTTCCCATTAGATCGAACGGAGTACAAATTACATTCGCTTTCAGATTTTGTTCGATATTCTACCAAATATCCAGAATCTCATTTCTCCTTTCTCGACTTATTAATCCTTAGTTTATCAAAGGAGACAAAACAATGCCAACTCATTGAGCGGTGCAATTTGTTTTTTTTTCCTAATTACAATAATTAAAAAGATTTTTAAATCGAATTTTTTAACATGCCAAGTCTCTTTCTATTTCGATTATATTGTTTTAAAAGTCTATATTAAATTTTTAGCAAACTTTTTAATTATTTCGTAACGTTTAAGTTTTGATATCGATTCGCACTCGACAAATTGCATTCGATCACGACCGAAGATTGGATTGGCCTAATAAAAAATTTATGATTGAGAATAAATAAACGTGATATATTATCTATAAAATTCATCCACATAACTTCTTATAAAAATGAGTATTATAATGAAAAATTTATGTTTAGATAGAGAAAATATGATTAAATTATCTGCAACGTGCCACTTATTTAAAATAGATTGCATATGCATTGAGCTATCATCAAAAAATAGAAGAAATATTTAATATGTTACAATTCAATATTTATAATATAATTTAAGTAGTAGCTTCATTATACAATAAATTTTTTCCTAAATTTAAAAGAAAAAACAACTAATGAGAAAGCGCAACAGGCAAGAAAAGAATTTTCAAAAACATGTATAAGAATTTAAAGTATATAAAGAATTTCCATGTATAAAAAAGAAATAATTGTTTAAGTGAAAGATATCGATGACTTTATAAATGCTATACTACTTTAATATCAAAGCCCCATCATATTTTTTGAATGATGATGAATATACTTCAAGTTTTTTATAATATATATTTAATAATAAATGATGATTTCAGACAGATAAAATAGTTCTTATGAGAAAAATGTATATCATAAATTTAGAAAATTTTTTTTATTATTTTGGTGATATCATTATAGAATTTTACATATAGATAAGTATTAATTTATGAAAGAAATGAAGAGATACGTACCCTTGACAGGAGGAACGATTTTCCTTAATTTTTGTTGTATGTGTTCTTCGGAGTAATTTTTAAAAACTATAATATCTTTGACGACGTAGCCTACGGATCTCAAAAATTTATCAACTTCGACAGCTATTCGAAACCAACTCTGCTCCGGAGTTGCTAGTAATATGCAATACTTCCATCGAAAGGTACGTAACAGAGCAGCCATGGAAACTGCAATCTGTTGTACTGGAGGCACTATTCTACCGAAAGTACGGTATTTTGACGTCTGGAAACCGGGGCAACCCCAAGATATATAAAGTTTTTTATGATAACTTGCTAGAGCGGCTGATGCTTCGCACACGTGGTCCGCGACACTCCCTATAACAGCGTGCACATCATCTCGTGTCAAAGCCTTCACTAGGGGGTAAAATCCACCGCTATCCACAGTATCACTCACGATCTCGTAATTGATTGTAAGGTTATCGTTCAAATATTCCCATCTCTGTAACACCGTATTAAAAATATTATCGAGAAACTGTACATTTTGCTGGTTTTCTATGGCGACAATACGGAGACTGGGAGAAGGAAGACCGACAGTCGTGCTAGACAGCAGGATGAGGGAGAACAAGGTGTGACATCGGAAGACGACGTTAGAACCCTGCCACATAGCAAGGATTACTATATAAACATCAGAGCATTGTTTCTTTCACACGTGATCGGTTACGTTACGGTGATATTATCCTGCAATTCTGTGCCATGTTCCTTCAGATAAACAGGAAGTTCACCTCACGTCAAGTCATCCGCCGTTGATGTCTCTCCATCTCGCTTCGCTTTCTACCCTTAAATGGCGCTGTTTCCACACGGCTATCGGACTCTGCCGAGCAGCTACTTGTACAGGCTCTTCTAGGTGAGCTTATACAGGTGGAGGAACGAGAAACACAGTTTGCTGCCACCTAATTGGTCACCAGTCACACACACACACACATACGCGAAGATGTTACGGCTCATCGTGAATCTGCCGAGTGCCCTCTAGTGTCGTGATACCTAGGCGTTCGATTTTGCCTTATAGAGCAAAGGAGCGAAAGAGAAAGTGCATCTCCATCATCATCATCGAATTCGTGCTAAATCATCCCGAAAATAACATCATCATTATTCCCGATTTTTTTAAAAAAACATTTTAAACCGATAATATTACAGTTTAAAGATTCTATTATATAATAATAGTGAGAATAATTTAATAAAATTGACAAAGCGTTCACTTAGATAATCGCCAATTGACTTCGATATGTCACATATATTTATCCGGAATGTCAACTACGGCCAGCATCCCGTTGTCATGGCAACGTTTTATCTGTAGGAACAACGAGATTTCATTTTCGTTCTTACTTAAACGAGCTTAATATTAACTAGTAATTGTCTTCGGATTAGTTACATATTATATATATAATTCCTCCTGTCACTTATTTTATTATACAAAGTTTTATTTTATTTTTTTCAAATTCTTAATTATTTAAAGTGGCTCGAATATATAAAGAAACATTAACAAATAATATTTTTCTTCAATTTTTAATACAAAATATCGACGATTAATCGATTATTGATATTCGCTCCTCTTACAAATTTAAATCGATACATCACGTGAAATTTCTACGATCGTCAATATAAATAAATAAATAAATATATATATAAAATTGAATTGTTTATAAAACCGAATGCCACAGACAGATAGGTGCCACACGTGGTCTTTAATGTAGGCTGTAGGATCCACACACAAAAAATATCGATCAAGAAAAGAGATATATTGCAATCATCTATTACAAGTCATCCAAACCGATTTCTCTTCGATTATTGATGTAATAGCATGTTAAATTAAAAATATCTGATATATTCTTGTTTTAAATATCGATCCCTATCACTAAAAAAAATATAAGAATGTATCTAATTAAAGAAATTCGCAACTAAGAAGCGTTAAGAGCAACATTTCAGATTTCCATACTCATTAAGAAGGATCGTTATCGTCTACAGTATGTAATTATAAAGAAAAATAATTGGAAAATGCTTAAATAATGAAATTAATTGTCAATTATTTCTTAGCGTAACATCTCGTCTTCTTAATATGTGTAAAAATCCCATAAAATTTATTCAAACATATTTTTAAAAAAAGCATATTCTTAATGAAAACATTAAGAGATGGATGAATATGACTTATGTAAGTAATACTAGATGAATGCACTTTTAAAAATGTATTTGTGTTTTTATATATATATAGCTTACAATTTAATATTTCATTTTAATGACAATAATTTTAAACTTTTTTTCCCTTTATAATAAACATCAAACTATAAAACATATAAACAAATAGTTTTTTTTTCTCTGCGTTAATATTTAAGTGCATATCTTTCTAAGATAATATTCAATCATAAAATATTAAAACGTAATTTTCTAGTAGCTTTTATAAAAGAAGAAAAATAAAACTATGTTTATTGTTCTTAAATATTTTTTTTTCTTCTTTATGTTCTTTCAACGGTACATCATAGTTATTTTAGCTACTCTCACTGGAAGCGCTTACTTACCAAAGAGTCTTGCTTGTTCCTATAACATGTTATGTATCATTAAGTCAATTGTTATTTCTTAGTTTCTTCGTCGAGTCACGTTGCTAAACCTTTATAAAGAAATTATTATGTGTAGAACGGAAAGAATTTACGATTTATTCTTTTATTTTTCTTGCTGATCATATCGATCGCTTCTGAAAAAAGAAATGCTTCATTTCAGGGAATTGAGGCACTTACTGTTTCAGCAATAATTCCAGCATTAATGTTCCCAATGTAGTTACTGAAAACTTTATTTTTATATAAAAATATGTACTTTCCCTTAAGGGAAATATAGCAAATCTTTTCGATTAATAATTCAAAATAATAAAAAAAAAATATATATATATATATAAAATAATATTTAAAAATCTTTAGCTGGATCGATCCATCCCAGATGTGAGAAATCCATCAGTCGACACAGCTAAAGATCACTAAAAATCGTGTGGTTTGTTAAGCGTAATCATAAAATATTACTATTTGTGAATTTTTATGAAGTTGTTATTAATAAAACTTTATTTTTATATTCGTGTCGAAGCGATAAATAAAAATTTAAATTCGGTAATAACTGCTTAAATTTATCTTTAAAACTTTCCAATATTTCTCCATGAAAAAAAAGGAAAAAACTAAAAATAAAACAAATATTCTAGAACTTTTCCCATAAAATTCACGATTTGAAATGGAAATAAACATGTAAATTTTATTCCTATTAAAAGAATTTCGCTTTGGTTTAAAGATCAAACTGAATTCCTTTTTATGGAGAAGAAACATATTTCACTTCTCAATTTCAAGTAATAAAGTGGTAAAGTTTTCTCGTTTTATAGTATTTTTTTTTTTTAATTTCAAAATATAAATTTCTTCGTACAATAATAAAAAATAAATAAATTTTTGCTTCAATTTCAAATAAAAAATTTTCACCTTCAAGTAACAGTTTTCTTTCACTTTGAAAGAAATAAATGTTTTGTTTATATTTCAAATAACGAAAAAAAAACACTCTCTTAAATAAGAGAAATAAATTCATTTTTATTTGAAAGAAAAGAAAAAAAATACTTCTTCAAGCAACAATTTCATTTTTTTTTTCTAAATTTTATGAGAATTTTTTCTTCGATTTCACAACAGTTTACTTTTCAATATTAAGAAATAAAAATGTTTCTTCAATTTGAAATAGGAAACATTCCTCTTCTAAATTAAAGGAATAAAATTTCTTTTATTTTCCGAAAAATTTTTCAAATAATTTTTTTACATTTGAATTTTATTTTCAGGAAATAATTAAAGGAAATTTTAAGAATTTTTTTAAAAAAAATTTTCATAAAATGAAACGATTTCATCCATTTCATGAAATAAATTAACGTATTCAATTGAATGGAAACGATTTCATTCCTGCGACTTCAACAACGGATTTCTTTATTTTCTTTTTTTTTAAATAAATCAAAATGAAATAAAATTAAATTTCCTTTTCCTTCGATAAGTAGATTTATCTTTTTGTGATTCTCCTTTATAATTTTAAGGATTAACGTTTTCATTCAATTTTAACAGACGAATTTCTCTTTCAAACTTTATAAAAAATAAAATTCCTCCACACAAGTTTCAAAAATAAAATTTTCCTTTCGATTTCACAAAAAGTTGAGCTTTTCAAAGAATAAAAAAAAATTTGAAAAAAAAAACTCTTTTTATTTTTTGTTAAATTTTAAAGGGAAAAAAGCTCTTCAATTCTGTAAGAAAAATTCCTCCTTAAAGCTCGAGAGCAAATAAAAAATTTCCAAAATTTTATCTTCAAGTTAAAAAAAAGAAAAAAAAAGAAAATCAAATTGACCAAATTCTTTTAATATCTTTAAACGTTTCACAAAAATTTTTTCAGTAAACTGAAATAAAAAGAAAATTATTAAAAATATATATTTATGAATAATACACAGGAAAGATTTAAAAAAAAAAAGATTCGAGATTTTCGGAAGGTGACGTGACGGAAAAAAAGTAAATAAATAATAAAAAATAACGCTCAGGTAGTTTGTTTCTCGAAATATCAATACAACCAACCGTAAAGAACGTGATACCAGAAACATCTCACTAATGGATAAGTTTACTTGACCTTAAATAATCATCTCACGTATATATAACGAATTTATCTTAACCTATTTTCTAATAATAGGTGAGATATCTCCGATCAATACCATATCTAAGAGGGCACGGGGTAAATTTTCACGTAAATTTTGTACATAAACTAGACATATTAATATATATATACAGTAAAACCTGTGTAAACTGGTCTCGCATAGTACCAGTTTTATAACACTAAAAATTCGCTGCGTTTCGAAGAATCTTTCCCGTTTAGGCAGGTTTTTCCGTTTTGAACAGGTTTTACTGTATATAAAAGTTAAAATGTGTGTTAGGTAAAGGATTGTATATAGTTGAATGTATAAGCATCGAATTTGGTATGAATATTCTTCGACACCATACAAAAATACTGGGATCCTCACTCACTCTTAAGTTCGAGCATATTTTTGTGTTTTCCAGTTTTATTAGTGTAAATATTCTTGTATATTTTAGTTACTAAAACTATTGTTTTCATCACCTTCTCCCAATCCTCCCATATAAAACACATACGTTAAAACCCGTCCAAAACGGAACCTTAATAAAACGGACACCTACCAAACCGGAAAAAATATTCGTTACCGTACAAGTCCGGTTTACGCAGGTTTCACTATCTATTTTTTTATTTATTTATTGAAGATCGGAGGAGAAATAAGCACCTTCTAACCTCTCCCAAATACGCTCATCACCGATTTAAAAGGGAAAAAAAATCCAATATTTTATGTAGAAAATATATATATTTAGTAAATAAAATAAATTATTTTAAAGAAATAATAATAATAAAAAAACTAAATAAAATTATTGTAGTCCATATTTATATAACAAATTACTTTGAAAATTTATTTAAGCAATTATGAAAAATATGATAAATTTTCTAAAGAATTTACAATGATTAGTTAATTATGTAATAGGGTGTAAAGTAATAAAGAGTAAATAATAATTTATAATTTTTTCTGACAAATTTACGTCTAAATATCTTTAATAAATGATCCATCTGATTATCGGCTTGATCATCCATTACAAAGGATAACGATAAAGGTGCATCATTATATTTTATAGTTAAAGTGTTAGCCAGTTGAGTCATTATAAAGTATCAACAAAACTTTTAAAAAGATAATTATAAAAATTTCGAAAATAAATTTACTATTTATCTAACGCGACTAATTACCATTTTAAAGTTATTAAATAAAATTAATTTCCTCATTTAACCAATTTAAAATTTTTATATACGTATTTATAATTTATAATAAAGATGAAGGTTTTTATTTTTCTTTTATTTTTAAAGGAATAAAAGAAAAAAAAAATTATAAACCACAAAAATAAAAATTGTTTCTATTAAAATAAGAATTTTTCTAAATTAATTTTTACTAATTAATACTGAAATACGTGTTTTAAATACAGTATTTTTAAAGGAAATCAAATTACAAAATTCAAAATTTTAAAT